CTAACAGTGTGCCTCACAATGATTGTTACTTCAGACAGGGAAAAAGAAAGACAGATGAAAACAGGAGAAGGAAGGAAAAGAAGAAGGACATAACACTAACAGTGTGCCTCACAATGATTGTTGCTTAATACCAAAAAAAAAGTAAGACAGATAAACAGAAACAACAGAAGGAAGGAAGAGAAGTAGGACCTATAAGTGGCACCCTCCAGCCACCCGCAAAAGAGCTCTCCAGTAGAGGGATATATATTATTTCACAACACACACACAAATGACACAGATTTATGTCAGCGCAAGTCTCCATCTACTCACAAGTGGGTGGTTGGTGGGTGTGCTGGTGTGATTTGCTCCTTCTTTCCAAATCAAACATCTATTGTCTCTATCTCCCCTCCTTCTTTTTTGAGTTTGTTACTCCCTTGTAACACCTCCAATCTTCAGCACTTATATGACCTTATTGTGTTGCAAGTGCCGTAAAACTTTTACGAAAAAAACCTCCCATCTACTCACATAGCAATGAATTCCTTAGAGCCGGCAAGTATCGAACCAGAAGGACAGCACAGACCCTGGGAAGAAAAAAAATCCACATCCAAAGACGTCAAATATCTTCTTTTTTTTATTTTTTAGAAAGAGTTTTACGGCACTTGCAACACAATAATAAGGTCATATAAGTGCCGAAGATTAGAGGTGTTACAAGAGAGTAACAAACACAAAAAAGAAGGAGGGGAGATAAAGACAATAGATGTTTGATAGGAAAGAAGAAGCAAACCACACCAGAGCACCCGCCAACCACCCACCGCCAAATATCTCGTCTCAAGATGTCCACATCATGACATCCTAAAGTACAGCAAATCAAACAGACAGGTGACGTACTCAATCATCTTCTTTTTTTTATAGTAGAGGGTTTTACGGCGCTCACAACTGCGTAAGGTCATATGAGCGCCAAGGGGTGGGTGTCAACAGAGAAGTCCTTACAGGGAATCAGACTTACTCTGCTCACCTCTCTAGCTTCAACAGCACAAAGTCTGCTTCAACTATCAAGGCAACCGGGAAATAGCAGGTCACAAGAGTGTGACAAACATACAAAAGAAGTAGAGGGAAAATGACAATAGTAAGGATTAGGAAAGAAAAAGCAGCAGTTCCCTGTCGCAGATCAGGCACAGTTATGAGTGAGACATGAATCAGCCCATTTACAATTCTACTATGCTTGAACAAGAAATGTCTCCCCTTTGGGAAAGGCCTAAAGACACTACAGTCAGTGGCACCGCCCCGGGGGGAAACTCAATCATCCGTGCGACGAGACAGAACAAGTCCTTCTATAAGAGACACTACGAGCTAATCAGGTGGCCGGAGGCTGGATCACTTGAGTCAATTAGAAAAAGGTTTTACCAACAGCCAACAGCCTCAACACAAGAAACTTTGTTTCTATAAATAAAGCACATGAAGAATATAGCAATGCATATATATATATATCTATCTCTCTCAAAATTAAGTAAAATATTGCGAGTAAAAAGCAGAAGTCAATCCATTTTTTGTGCCAACACTTCTAGTCTGATACAACCTTTCAGTGTTTTTCAAAAGAGACAGACAGTGATCTTTTAAATATTTTGGGGTATTACAAGCATGGAAATTAATATGCTGCTTTTTTCGTTTAGTAGTAAGGTTTTACGGCGCTCGCAACTGCATAAGGTCATATGAGCCCCAAGGGGAGGATGTCAATAGAGAAGTCCAAACGGGGAATCAGGCTTATTCTGCTCACCTCTCTAGCCAGGTATATATGTCACTTTGGATTTTTTACTGAAAGACGGTTTACCCCCTTGGAGATAATTAATCTGAGGTAAGGGTTGCACATATGTTCAAGAAATATTTTGTTGAAATTTAAACTCTAAATAGTGACAAAACCAAGGGGAAAAAAGTAAGAACATTTGTTAAAAGAAAGGCACAATTCTCTTTTCTCTCCTGAGCAATTTCGCCATAGATCTGGGCTTAGAGCAGTCAAACAGCTCGCCAACAACAGAATCTCTTACTTTGCTGAAGGCGATGGAGACAGTATCAAAGCCCTGAGCCCCCTCTGTCACCGGGACCTTGAGAGCCGTGGACGCATTGAACAGGCGAGCTCCGTCCAGGTGAAAACTTAGGTTGTTCTTCCTGGCGATCTCCTCGACCTGTGTGCAGAGAGAGGAAGGGATTTCACACTTGTGTGACATGATTGTGTTGTATGTGACGTAAAACTCTTACAAAAAAAACAACTACAAAAAGGACACAATGTTAGGTGTAAGGGACCGCTCATAAATGATGTCAGCTAAAATTTGGCCCAAGAATGACCCACCCAACCTCCCCCCTTTTCCCCTCCTTTCTTTTTTCCCCGGACCCCCTATGCCCCCCCCCCCCCCCCCCCACAAGTTGACGTCAAATTAAATGTACATGTACATTTAGATAAAACCTGTACAGGATGTATTTTATATCTACACCTTTGATCTTTATTCTAAATTTTTTAAAAATAAAAAACTATTGTCTATTAAATTAAAGAATACAACAAAGAAATACCTGAACTGTCAAATTATTTATAAACAACTCCAATCAAAATAATTAAAACAGAAAGATTGGATATCACACCTTGGAAAATAAACAAAGCAAAAAAATAATGTGGTTCAATTTAACTGCGTTAATTTCAGGCCAAGAAAATGTGGATTATAATTTTTTTTCTTCCTTTCTTTTCTTTTCTTTCCCCCAACCTTTGAGAGCATCATGGTGGACAAAATACTACCTAGGGAGGAAAGTTGGGTACTCTCAGATACCACAAACTACTGTACTTTCAAGAGAGAAAAGAAGAGAATTTTATTTAAATCCCATTAAACATGAATCAGCAAGTCTATAGATTGAGTACATTGATAAGTAAAGCTATAAAGCTACTACTACTACTACTACTACTACTACTACTACTACTACTACTATTACTACTACTACGACGAAGAGGAAGAAGAAGAAGAAGAAGAAGAACAACAACAACAATAACAACATCAACAACAACAAGAAGAAGAACAAGAAGAATTGCATAAAATTTATATAGCACATATCCATGTTCTACAGTATGCTCTATATATATGCGCTTTACAACCATTACATTTTAACCTTATCCGTACGTCGTGTTTCACTAACGTATCCATACGAAGTGGGGAACTCTGCGCCACCACTTTCCAAAGAGGAAATTTACTTGTTAATCTGATCCGTACGCTTGCATTGAAGCCTGTCAAAATGATTTTTTGAGAAATACTGAAAGTTTCAAAGAGATCTTCGAGCTAGAAGTATTCTAAAATGTGAAGAATACAACCCCAGGGCTACAAAATGACCCCAGGACGTGCGGAAAGGGTTATAAAACGCGAAAAAAAAACCCAACCAAACCATAACCCACTTTCTGAATGTAGTCCAGCGACACGACGCGGCCGCCACATTTGTTGTGCGTGTTCTCCAGGCAGATGAGCTTGGTCCAGGGCTGATGGACGTCGTCCAGGGGTCGGATCTTGCCCTCCAACTCCGCAAGGTCCAGCGTGCCGTTGGGCAGGGTGGAGACGCAGCGGCCCTGAACTCCGGCAAACTGACGACACAACCACAGACTTACAATGTCAGCCCAATAATAATAATAATAATAATAATAGTAAACAAATATAATAATAACTAGCTGGACCCTTTTTCCATGAAAGGAATGATAGGTGCATTAAAATCAACTGAAAGTCATCGGCCTACTATATTTACACTCTCTGATGTTTCAGATGTTCTCAGAACAGAAAAAGCCCTTTTTGCTGATGACCTGGTCCTTTGGCACACTGGAAACTTGACAACAATAAGCAG